GAACAATTTATTCATTTTTAACTTCATAATAATAGTACAATAGTACATTTTGAATTTAATAAATGTTGCCGAAAAATTGAACTTCAAATGCTTAAAAAAAAAAAATGTGCCTAATATGTATTTTTAATATTTTTCAGCTGTTATCGTAATAATATGTTAAAAGCTTTGTATTAAATTTTCAATTTTYTTGACCCAACCAACCAATATTTATTGATATTTATAGAAAACTAAAAACTAAAAACATTTAAATTTGTTAATGTCTGTTAACAGCTCAATGGCCTCAATGCGTGCCAATATATTTTGAAAATGTTGTAAAGTATAGRAAATAATACAACATAATTTTATGCAAATTTCAAGTACCAATCTACGGTTATTCGTTTCTTATAATTACAATACAAGAGAATTGTTCCATAAATAATCGATTATATACCTATCCAATGTAATAAAAATTTAAATTTCAAACACTCATTATAATTTAATTTGACTTTCTGGTATACATTTAGATAAAGATATACCTATAAACTTTGGATGAGGAATCTTATATATTAAATTTTCAAACCTTAGATATAAAAAGAAAAATTATTATGAATTTCTAACTAAAAATAATTTGAAAATTGGAGTGATTTTGAAGAATTTTGTCAATATTTTAACTTCAGATGCACATAAACAATTATTGAAGGTTTACGCTCAACTTTTTTTTTATTTYCATTTACAAAAACTTATGTGGAACCTTCTATTATATTTTCAAATTTTTTGCTCGAGCTAATTTTTTTTAATGACATTAATTTTTAAAAAGAAYTTATAAAATTGAAAAATATCATATGCCTATAAATAGTTCAACACAAATCAAAATATTCTGAAAATATTATGGTGGGCACTATATACTAAAGACATGATAATACAGATAATATAAACATTCAGTGAAAATGTCGTGTATCTATGGAATTTAGACTAAAATCCAAATTTGTCGAAAACCGATTTTGGATAAAAATTTAAGTTATCTGATATTTATTATATACCTATATTTATATTATTTGGTATCTACTGTCTGATAGA